GGACCATGCATAGTAGTTGAAGTGTCAGTTAGTATGTAAGGAGTGACAGCAGACAGTTGAAGTAATTGAGGTGAAAACTTAGTTGTGAAATTTGTTGTAATGTCAGTTGAAGTGTAATAAATAAAAGCTTTGTTTATTCTATTTCACTGAAAACAATGAGGCCTTTTTTTTTTTTGGAAAACCTTGGAACCACATTCAAATAATTGAAAAAACTCATCACTCTACATCACAAAAGAAAACAATGGAGTCATTTTCTGGTTCACATGAAGATGGTGTTTGGAAAATACAGTAGCTGATGTTGCAACTGTAATATATTTTGTGTGTATGTATAAACAATTGGATGTTGGAAATATTTCCACGGTTGGACCCTGGGCGGAGGAACAGTCCTGTCTTCTTTCAGATTTCTAAACTCTTCTTCCCCGTTGGGCCAGTCAGGGAATATCATTACTGGTAACTTTATCTCTACTGGTTGTTGTTTCTTAATTCAGACAGGGTGCTGTGGAATTTCATAACAAGCCCAGTCAGATGGAATATGGCTACAGAAGCCACTTAGCCGCTTAGTAACAAGATAGCATAATGGCATAATGGCAGGTCTCCCTCCAGCATATAAAAAAGCGGCAAAAATGTGAAAAAAAATACTAATTTGACAAATGTTCCATGCATCTGAAATTTCTGCTGCGTAAGTGTTTTGTATCCCACTTATGGGTCGGATAAAATCTACTTTAGTCCAGAAGTGTTTTGCAAAAACTCCTCATCCTGGAGGGCTTCAAATTAAGTTACAGAGTCATTTGTTTTTTTTTTTTATGACAGAAGATAATTTGTTGTACAAGAGATGAAACATTAGATTATTAACTTCCATTTTGACACTGTAACAGCTCCACTGTCATGTTTCTGCACTTACACAATTCAATTTACAGCTGAGCAACTTTTGTTGCAGAGAAGAGGCTCTGAGACGTTGGTCTGGACTCTATAGGTTTTATATAATGTGTGCACTGAATGTATGTAAACACATTTGACCGTCAAAGTGATGTTGGGACTGAAAACTGAAAATGTGGCTGAGATATCAGAGCCCTGGGTGATGACTATTTCCATTTTATCACCTCTTTAAGATGAAACAGAGACTCCATAATATGTTGAAATAATGATATAGCCAAATATCCAATATCTTAAACTTTTCTTAATTTTGTCAGTCATTCCTGGGGTCAGAAATATTATTATATGAATATATTATTATTATTATTATTATTATATTCATTAGATAACCCCACTCTGTGAGTTTAATGCACGATATTAATTTGATTTGTTAGAATTTGATGCTTTAGTATTATAGTATATCCAGATCTGACTGAAGAAATACATTATAAACCCTTTTCATAAATAACCATCTTAATTGAAGCGATTGTTGAGACTGCATCATGCTGAGTAATATGATTTGTAAGCTCAGCAGTTCTTATATTATTGTTTCTCTGTGTCTGAAGGACATGTTATTTTCTGACCGTACTCTAAGAGCACTTTGAGTTTCCCTGGACTGAGCACATGTGAAACTACCTGAGCTCTCAGCCTCTTCATTCCTCTTCACATGAAGAGCCATTTACTAAAGACTGAAAACACTTAGCTCTTTTCTCCCGGGGAACAGGTATTTGTGTCGTTAGTTGGACTTACAGGCTGCAGCCGGAGTGATGATGATGATGATGGTGATGATAATGGATGTAAAGAAACATGAACACATCATTTCTGTACTGGTATCCTCGCTCATGAATTTAAGATTTGCTCTACTAATTTAAATTTAAATTTAAGTTTATCTTAACAACTCTATGGAACTGTTTAGTCCTGAATGGTCTCATTGAGATGTTGGTGTATGTCTATATTTACATATGTATATACAGTTTGTGTGTATATATGTGTATATGTATGTATGCTTTTTTTCCTTTTCTTTATTTAATTCTATAAATAATTATATTGTTTTTTAGTATTTTAATATTGTTAGACATTTTTTTCTTGGATAATTTAATTCCATTGAATGATTGTAATTGTGTTTTGGCAGCACATTGAAAAGTCATGCCAATAAAAAATAAGTGAAATTGTTTGAAGGATCAGAAAGTCAGTCTTTTGTCCTGAGCGCCAAATTGTGAAATTATGAAATGGACTTTTAAGAAGAATTAGAGAAGTCTGTTTTAAATTTTAAATCTTTTAAAAAATCGACTTTTAAAAAAACAGTGCATTTATCTCTCTCCTAGGCTGGATATAATATTCTATTCCCGTCACTGACAGGAATTAGGAGCATTCAAAACAATCAGTAACGTTTGTTTTGTTAAGTCCAACATAAATTCAAATTATCATCTAGTTTCACATTCACCTGGACTCAAGGATGAATTAATTAGATTTCGGTGGTCAAAGGTCAAAGGTCAAGGTCACGGTGACCTCACAAAACACGATTTTGGTCTTGTGAATGCAATATCTCTGGAATTTCTTCAAATTTGGTAAAAAAAAAAAAGGTTCGCTTGGACTTGGGGATGAACTGAGTGGATTTTGGTGGCTAAAGGTCAAAGGTCATGATATGTGTGACTTCAAAAAACACTTTTTAGCCATAACTCAAGACACACAGTAATTATGATAAAATTTCACACAATTGGTTCATATTTTCTCTGACTCTGGATAAACAGGGATGTAACCTGAAACTAGTCTGAGTGGAGGAGGCAGACGACCACCAGGAGGTGATTCTAGTATCTTCATATTTCATAATAAACATAAAAGGAAGACTCATCTCAACATTAAACTGTTTCATCAAGAAAGCTTAAATTAAAGCTCAAAATCTACAGGAGAACATCATCCCAACAAAGACAGACTGTTCTCTGTTAAGAGAATAAATCATTAGTCACATGAACATTATCCGGCCCAGCGCTGTTCCTCATGCGGCACAATAACTGCAGCCGCTTTGGAAAACACACCACAGTGATGCTCCACATGCTGTAGGAACAGTTAAATCTGACCCAAAGAGCAGCTACACAGTGAAAGCAAGCAGATGAAAGAGAACGTCTCTTAACATGTTAGAACCATCGGACCATCACATCCATCACTGGGTCACCCTACATCCACAAAGTACTTCCTCCTCTGTGGAGAAATTGATAACACATTGTCTGCTCAATGGCTGCCTTAGATTACATGGTAAAAGATATCTTTCTTACAGTACACATTAAATCTTCCTCCATACTGCTCCCATTTAAAGGCACAGCCTGTAATTACTATATGGTCGAGCTTATTTTACAGTGATTTTCTCTACACACAGTGAGGCTTCATTATATAAAGTGTAACAGATACTTTGATCTAAAAACTGTTAATATGTGACTGTTATAAATGTGAATAAGTTCCTTAAAGGCTTAAGATAGTCATTTTTGTGTGTGTTGTCTGTTGGCCATTGTTAATGCTGCCTGGTCTGGGGGGTTCACTGGGGGCTGCCCTGGAGGTACCAGGTGCTACGTTGGGATTGGGTGCTGGTGGTGCGTGGATCGCATCACTAATAACAGCAGGGAGGGGGGCATAGTGAGGATGGGCAGACCCTCCTCCCCAGGATCTGAGGGATGCCCACTGAAACTCTCACCCCCCACCACAATGAACCAACCAGGTTGAGCAAAACAAAACAAAACAAAACAAAACAAAACAAAACAAAACAAAACAAAAACAAAAACAAACCCCCCTCAGTTACAGCCCAGTCTCCCTCCCCACCACTCAGCTGCCTGACCCCTGGGTTTGCCCCGCTGAACTGACCCCTGTCCCCGCTGTGGGCCCCCCAACCCCATCCCCACCCACAATCAACAGACATACACAGACACCACACATACACAAGCTCCTCTTTCTTCTTCCCCTTTTTTTTGTACAGGTTGATGCTGTGTGTTCATGCTCCTCACAAATGCAAAACCTCAATGTCATTCTATCTATTCCATTTTTTCTACTAGATAGCCCCTTGCCCTTTACTCATGATCTATTTTCTGCTGTTTTCATGCTGTTTTATTTTTCTTAAGCACTCTGAATGACCTCTGTTTATGATAATTGTGCTATACAAATAAACCTGCCTTGCCTTGACTTGACTGATTTTTTTTTTCACGTCTTATGATTCTTTGTTTTTCTCTAACATGTTTGTTGTATCGTCTGTTCTGTGTTTGGTCCAATCTCTCTCACTATTGTTACACTTGCCTTCACTTGTTTTGTTACTTAATAAAGGAAAAAAAAAATGTTATTGCTGCATATCTTAGTAACGGCTGCTTCATGGTTTTAAAATGTTTTAAAACTCTTTCAGAAGTTAAAAACCAAAATTCATTTTTTCAAATAAACGTTTCACTTCAGTCTTAATGTGTCAAATTACAGCAGTGGGAACTTCAGTCACTAAAGTATCTGATGAGACATGTTGCTGATCTGAAAAGCAGTGGTCAATGGGGATTGTAGGACAATCTCCATATTGCATCATAAGCACCACAAGATTTTACACATCTATGGTATAAACAGAGGAGTTTGCTTCATGTCTCCTCTGTATTTTCACTGACTGAACTCCAGAGTTTCTCTGCTGAGTGATATGCTCTTTACATGTTGCAGCCTCGCTCTGTCTGTATCTGGTATCTGGCTCCATCTGGTGGCCACATGATGAATTTCACATTGGATAAAACCTTGATGTTCTGCATCCGTCATTTCTTTTTTTAATTACCCTTTAATCAATAACAATATTATAAATAACAGACACTGTTAGAAATTGCAGTGTGGGACATGGAAAGCAAGTTCACAAGAAAAAAAAAAAAGAGTTTATACAACAGCACAAACACAGAGACACACGACACAGACGTGAAAAGAAAACAAGAATCGTGTGGAGTTGTTTCTTGTAAGAATGTAAATCATCAACAAATCGATTCAAAACCTAAATGCAAATCTGCATCAAAGTCTGTCAGTTGCATCAACTCTTTCTTCAAAATAACTACGTCCACTGTTTGTCTTTTTTTTTTTTTTTTTTTTTTTACAGAATGGTTGTCAGAATAAAATCAAAATAATACAACTGTTTAGGAATGATCAACCTGAGTTAAACTCAATTATGATTCAGAAGAAAATGACAACCTGACTAATAAACATAGCTAAACTACAAATATTTAATTAGAGAGACACGGAGTGAATGATAAAACTCATTCCCCCTCAAAAAAAGAGCTGAATGTCGACCTCCACCACAGGCCAAAGTCACGCCAACGCCCGGGGGAGTCGTATCGTCAATAAAGGCCTAAAAATAACAGCCATCAGTGTGTTTCAGTTGCTTTCACTGTGACTTTTAAAGTAGTTTCACCATCAGAAAAATGTCAGAGAACAGAGGCAAATCAGACCCGACGAGTGACAAACCAAAATCTCAGACTGATTGTTGGAACATCCGACGCTGCGACGCTTCAGCACATTAACATACATCATAATGAGGCACAAAGCAGAGCTGCCACGTCCCAGCAGGAGGACTGGTGGCCACCGACGAGACATAATCAAGGCCAAATATGCAGACAATACAACAATTAATGTTGCTTTGGAGTGCTGGTTTTTATACTACGGAGATGAGAGCCTGATGATGTCATTCACCGTCTTAAAAATGCAGAGGACAAACAGCAGCAAATGCACATGAGTTCAGTTTGAAGCTGCTCATTATCTTCTCTCTGAATGTCGTTGTAGATGACCTTATTTTTTGGTTAATGCACATTTGTACAGGAGTTAAATGCAGTGAGGTTTACATTGACTGCAGTAGTAAAGGCTTTATCTACAATAACATTAAAGTAAATGATCTTTTTTTTTTTTTAAATCCCTAACAGCAACTCAATACTGTTCGAGGACGCAGGCCAGAAACTGCAAGTAATACCTGGAATATAAAATAACACTTAAAAAAATCTGAACTCCACATATAAAAAATTTTGACAGAAAAGCATCAGAACTGTAGAAAATGACATTTGAAGCTGATGTGTTTGAAGAAGGCAGGTCGACCCTCTCTGACAAAACAGGGTCAAGTGTTCCAAGCCTTCTGAGTGCAGTCATATTTGTAGTCTTTTACTATGTGCTCTGTGTTTTCAAGTAATCCCAAGTCTCAGTGAAATTAATCCAAAGAATGATTATTTCATTTCTCTCCATTCTTGATTGTTCCAGTGGTTCCTCGACCTCGGTGGGTCCATCACTGAGGATCAGTGAGTAAAAAAAAGTGCTGAAGATAGAAATATCAGAGAAGCACAGAACTACAAAACAAACACAGGTAGTCCAGTGTAGCTCACGAGGACAGTTTGGAGTAGCTCGGTGGTGAAAACTTGCGCTTCAGGTATTTGATGATGTAAAGAGGAAGACAGCTGACCAGCGTGATGGCGGACACCTTCCACAGGAAAGGCCAAGTCGTGATGAACGACAAGTCTGGGAGAGCAAACAGAGACACACTCGTTTAGTTACACATGTGTTACACAGTGCTGTGTTGTGACTGTACAGGATCATAGACGTTCAGTCAAGTGATGAAGAGTCACCATCACTTGATTATAAGAGATAAAAACAACATGAACAGTCCCGATGCAGCTTAGAAAGCCAGATTCAGATAGTGGTCTTCATGTGTTGGAGTATGGAATAAATGGCATGACAGAAATGTCATGAGACCAAACAGAGCTGCAGTACACATGACTTTAAAACACTCAAATGAAAATGGAAACAGATATGGTGAGACATTAAATGTCACTGGAACAGAGAAATGGAGGGAATGACTTTAATTCACAAGCTGTACACCTACCAAGAAAAGCTCCAAAGGAGACCCTGCCTATGCCTGGTGCCAACGCACAGAAGCAAAAGAGGTGCAGCAGAAAGAGAGTGAGTACAGAGCAAAAACAAGAAGAAGAAGAAGAAGAAGAAGAAAGAAGCTATAAAAGCACAGAGCTGAACTACTGCACAACACAAAGCATTACATCAAAATCAACTGAAGCAGGTGCAGTGAAGAAGACCGAGGAACCTTGAAGAGCTCAGTTTGTTCAGTCCTGGACTTAAACCAAAAAGTAAAGTTATCCTTCCACTGTACTGAAAGCTCACTGCTAGTTATAGTAGGTAAACATGAGAGAAAGTCAATTATCCATTAGATGATCTACTATTTTCATAATTGATTAATTCTTTAGGGAATTTTCAAGCAAAGATACCAAATATTTCCTGGTTTCAGCTTCTGGATTTGCAGCTTTCTTCATCACACATGATAATAACCTGAATTTCTTTGTGTTTTTGAGGGTTGTTTGGTCTAAACAGCAAAGTGAGGACCACACCTTGTGTTCTGGGAAATCTTACTTTATCTCTATTTTCTGACATTTTATGGATAAAACTATCAATTGATTAATAAGGAAAATAACCAGTAGATTAATCAATGACAAAAATAAGTAAGTAAGTAAGTTAACTGCTGCTCATATGTATTTCTTAAGTTCTTCTACACTATCTACAGTAAGTAAAACAAAAAGTACCTACCAAAGTACTCATTGAGGAAGGCGAGCGAGGCGAGGTAGCAGCCGAGGCTGAAGAACTCGGCCACGACCATGAGCCAGTGCCAGGTGCGAATCGTCAGAGCCACCATCAGCAGCTCGGTCAGGATGAGCGCCGTGAAGGAGATGGCGACCACGTGCACGAACTCAGACTCAAACAGCAGCATCGCGCCGTACATGAGGATGCCACCTGGAGGCGCCAGAGGAAACACAACGACTAAATGACGTCAAAGCCAAACAATGAAGTTTCTTCACTTTACTAAAGATCAAAATGTCGGAGCTGGATCAGTGCCACAGTGTTGAGTGTTGAGTGTGGGTCTGGGTAAACATCTTTTTCTTTTTTCTAGGATCTTTGTGGCTCTGCGCCATAAAGTTAATGTTTGTTTTGACCTGTTATAACAACTCAGATGTGACTGAGAAACAAGAAATCAAATACACGACTGCACAAAAATAATTCAAAATACTTTATTACAACTGCCCATTATTTATAATTTATATATTATTTATATATTATATAAATAATATATCAATTATTTATATATTATATAAATAATACATACTATTCTGTCATAACGCCACCACATTATTATCATATTATTCTACACTACTTTATATTATATTGTATTACATTTCGTTATATCATAAAAATAAAATAAAATAAAATAAAAAATTTGCCCATGTGGGACTAGTCTTGCACCAAGAGAAAGACATCCCAATAAGTATTTTCAAAATAAAATTCAGCCCTGGTCAGTTCTGCCCAGTACAACTGGGATAATTAGAACTGGTTGACTGGGACATTGAGTTAAGGATTAATGTGTCTGGAGATTAGAACTGATTCAATAAGATTATTTATGAGGGGAAAGATGCACAATGTGCTCCAGTGTCTCAGTCTGGTCAAAGTCTTTAAGCGTTCAGACGCTCACTCATCTCTTGGTGCCTCCTGTATCCTGATAGCCTTTCATTTTATCATAACACTGCACAAACTGAGCTTAACAGCCTATAACTGATCGCATAATTACTTCTTCATACAGGACATTCCAGCGAGTCAAACCCTGTAATAAATTAAGGCAGATTGGTGCCTAATATTTTCCTCCTGTGCTGTTGTCCTCTCATATCGTCTTGTTTTTTTTTTTGTTTTTTTTAAACACAGACCCGGTTTTGGCATTTAATTAAAAAACCTTGAGCTGTCAGGAAGTCACGCTCGAGCAGGAACATAGATCTTTCTCACACGCTGCATGGCTTAGCGATTACAGAAATATCGATTTACTGGACAGACAAAAGCTGCATGTAAAAGCAGATGGTGGTTGGAAACCTAAGATACTGAGAAACGGACTATCTGAGAGTTTGGAGGGGCCCAAGGATCGCGGTATTAGACACAGTAGAAATGATGAAACGGTGGTTGAAGAGTTCCATTGACAGTTGGTTATGGCAGACACAGATACGGTTATGTTGCAGGTAGTTCTGCTAAAAAGGTTATTTTAATGAAACTAATGTTTTCATCTGCAAATATAACTTTAAGAAAGTGCGTGTGCACCTTACCTTGATAAACACTGATCAAAACCCAAATGAGGAAAGTCTTGAAAGATAACGAGCGACCCTGAAAGAGAGAAACCAGAGATCAATCACTGCAACTGTACTTTCACATGTCTGAAAGCTGTTAGGGGAAGAAAGTGAGGGCAAAGGGAATTTGTCCATATAAAATCTGAACCATTCGTGTAAAAATTTTGTCATGATTGCTGTGTGAAGTCTTGAATAATGGATAAGAAGTGTTTTTCTGAGGTCACTGTGACCTTGATCTTTGACCTTTAGCCACCAAAATCTAATCAGGTCGTTCTTGAGTCCAGGTGAAGGTTTTCAACAAATATGAAGAAATTCCCTCAAGGTGTTAAGGAGATGTTGCGTTCACAAGACCAAAACCGTACTTTGTGAGGTCATCACGACCTTGACCTTTGACCACCAAAATCTAATGAGTTCATCGTTGAGTCCAAGTTCACTCAAGGCGTTACTGAGATATCGTGTCCATGAGAACAGGACAGGTGGACGAACAACCCAAAAACATGTGTCCGGCTCTGACTGTTGCCGGCGCAGAGACATAATAAAAAGTGAACTGTACCTTGGTGAGGTCTTTGTAAAGCTCTGGGTAGAGCAGAGCCATCTCTGGCTTCACATCTTGGTCCAGAACCAGGGAGAACACTGGAAACATGGTGTAGATGGTTGCATACCTGCATAGAACAGAGTGTCCAGAGAAATGAACAAAGTTTAAACATGTTGACATTATCAAATATATCCACGTATCTGTTTGTGCTGCTGTGACGCTGAGATGATTCTCCACATGTTGATAAGAGTTTTGGAAAAGACACCAGACACATACCCGACCATGAGGAATCCCTGGTACAACGGCACGGAGGCGAAGAAGAATATGGAGGAGAAGACGGCCTGAGGACACAGAACATAAACAGTGTTGTAAAAGTTAGTTAGTTTGGAACTTTATTGTCCACAATGTAGAAAATTGTCTTTGTCTTCACCACAGCACAAATTAAAAACAAGACAATTAATTAAGAACAGATACTAAGAGCAAAACAGCCTCAAACAGGACTTTAAAAGACATTGCTGCAATTGTAACATGTTTATTTTACCTTCATTTAACAGAACAGAGTTGTACTGATCAGCGTACCTGCATGGTGGAGATGATCATGCCTCTGTGCATGACGAACTGACCCAGCGCTGCAGAGCGTTTGTAGCTGTTCCTCCCATGAACCATGAGCAAACGGCCGATGTGTTTAAACTGAGTGATGGAGAAATCTGCGGCCAGAGACGCTTGTTTCCCTTCCTGCTCAGAGAAACAAACGCATTAAAGACACAGTGATTCTGCTGTCAAAGGTCAGAGTGAACTTTAGACCAAACAACAGAGGTGCACAGCAGAACCTAGCTCAATGTGCAGTCATATAAAAAAGGTATAAATATAAATATACAAACACAAATAGACATAACGGACTTAATAGACAACTAAGACATGACAAATAGTGGAACATGTCAATTGTAAAAAATAAGGTGCTCAAGTGGTGGACATTGAATTACTGCACAAGGTAACAGCAGTTAAAATACAATAGCAGCAGATAAAACTACAGTAAAAGCAGATGAAAAGTCCAGCCTGTGAACGCTGAATATATGCATTCAGCTGGGTTACACAGCGCATTCAACATTTCAGTGTCACGTCCTACTAAAACAAATGATGTGAACCTAAAATTGAAAACAAAGGCATATACAGTGCATTACATGTAAACTGAGTTTCAAAGGAAGCAAAGACAATTCTAATTAAGATGATAAAGAGTTATCAAAAGAAATGTTTTCATGCTGTTAAATACTGTTTTGGTGGCTCTCAAGTACTTTAAGTAAGTAAGTCAAGTAAGACACGTGCCCTTCAGAGAAAAATAACATCAAACTGCTACACAATTAGCTGTAGAAGAAAAAGTTCAAACTATTTTACTAGTAACCTAATTGATGTCAAATATATCAGAGTTCATGTGATTGAATCAGGTAATAGAGTCTCATCCAGAATAACACTAGAGCTTATAATGAGAAGGTCTGTAGTCACTTTACCTTTCCTTCGATTCCTATACCACAGTGAGCAGCCTGGATCATACTGACATCATTTCCTCCATCACCTGACACACAATAGAAAAACACATTGTTTAGCTGTGTGTAAATAGCTACACATTATTTACATACAATGTATGTTTAGGTTTATGAGAGTAACACACGGTAGGTGACTCTCTCACTGAGCTTTGGCTGCCACCTTGTGGATGAAAGAAGTGACATAAGTAATATAAGAAGTATTTTTACTATGTGCTCTGGTGTGTGCTTGTACGTCTGTGTGTCTTTGTGCTCAATATACAATCAATCTGAGCTTGAACACATTTTCAGGACCTCCTGCATTAAATATACACATCTGGGATATGACAGGTGAGTGGCTGATCAATTAAGTGTTTTGCTCTGGAGCAACTTCAGAGTAATTACCAATTCACCTTCTTTAAGCCATCAAACTATCAAACAATCCACAGTTCAGTGTCTCATATAGTCCTCCCTGAGGGACAGAGCTGCATCCACACAGACTGAAAGGCCAACCACCGTCCAAACGTTGTAATGCTGCTGCCACACATCTGTCAACACTCACCTATGGCACAGGTTCTGTTGGCCGTGTGCTGCTGCAGGAGTGTGACGATATGGGCCTTCTGAGTTGGGGAGCAGCGACAGCAGACCACTGCTGGACACTGACACGCCAGCTCCACAAACTCGTGCTCATAATACCTCAAACACACCTGCAACACAAAAATTAAAACACTGAGCAATTTCCCCTCAAACAAAAACTTAAAACTCCTGCTTATCTGTTATGTTTTTTGTTTTGTTTTTTTACTAAAGGCCTTGGTTGAACTCCAAACTATTAGTTTTGGCTGAGAAGCACTTTCTATTCTCTCATGGCCTGTTTTGGCTGCAGCCTCAGCATCATCTGTTGTACAGGGAAATGTCACTGTGTGCTGTGCTGTGTTGTAGTACCTCTAAGGAGTCTCCAGAGATGACCAGAGCACAGTCATGTTTCCTTCTGAAGGCGTTGAGCTCCAGATGGGCCTCTCCTCTGTTTGAGACCTGCTCGAGAGCAACACAATACAATTAGCCACAAAAACAGTTTAGGCTTTTTGTTATCTCCCATTAAGGAGGCGCATTATGATCACAGAGCACCGGGACAAAAGGCCGAGTAAAACAACATACCGGTCTGAAGACGTGGATGTCCTGGTTTCTGGAGACCAAATGGGAGCTTTTGGCGATGCACGTAGCTGTCTCGAGCTTGTCCCCCGTCAACATCCAAATCTAAGAGAACAAGATCGGCATGCAGGTGGATTGAGGATGTGGTTTTCTGAACTTTATATATATTAATAATCAGAATTCTTCAGGCTGCTGGTGAAGAAACTATCCAGTCTTTATTTTCCTTTGCTAACCTTGATGCCAGCGTTCCTGAGCAGCTCCAGTGTTGGTCTGACATCTGCTTGGAGCTGGTCTTCTACACCGGTCAGACACAGAAGCTCCATCTCCCTCTCCAGACTCTCCACCACTGCTGCAACCTTCAGGGCTCGGTCATGGATGCTCAGCTTTGCCTGGTTGTAGCGATTCTGAACAGAGAGGGAGGAGAAAAGTGGAGATAAAATTGACATAAAAAAGAAATACTAAACAGAGCTGTTCAAACTAAAACTTAAAGAGTCCAATCACAGGGAGGAAAGAAGCAGAGAAAAATGGGCTGGTTAAGTTCTCAAACCAAAACCTTTTAGGTTTTTCAACCAAATACTTGAATACAGATGATGTGACAATATTTTCAGGATTACTATTTGTTTGTGTTTACAGGAATTGTTTAACACAAACAAAACATTCTAAGTCAATATTCATTATAATGTGGATTTTTATGATGAAACAGAGAGAAATATTTAAGGTAGCATTTAATTTGAACTCGAGTTTGTTTGTTTTTTCTTTTTTTTTGGTTTATCTATATAGTTGTTTTTATGATTTGCTAATCAAAGACCTTTTATATTTTTCTACACAGCAAAATCAATAATATAATAATAAATATATATATCACACTGTCCATTTCAGACACATATTCACAAAACAGTAATACTGCAGAAGACCTGTAAAAAAGACTTTAATGTAAAGTCTGTGGAGTTTCCTTTTGAGTGCGAGAAAAATGAAAATATTTAAGATTAAGTTTAAGAAAGTTTAAGTTTATGAATTTAGGAATAACAAACTCCCAGACACATCACACAATGAAGCTGATATTCTATTGATATATCACACAGCCTCGTGTCCATGTCAGAAAACGAAACAAAAGAGATTTATTGAAGGGCGCAGACGGCGCAGAGAGCAGATTGAAAGGCACGAACATCAGGGTTCATCTGTACCTCGAAGTCCTGATACTGCTCCTCAGACAGAGACTTCTTGGCCACCACCAGCGTCCTCAGACCTTCTCTGGCCATGTTCCCACACTGATGGAGAGGAGAGGATGACATTAGTGAGCAGGAGGATTTTCAACCTCGAGCACACTTTATTTCTTGGATGAATCTGAGGAATTTCATTATTTAAAATAAAAGTTTATGTATCTTTAAAATTCAAGTATGGAGCAGATCATCTGTTCTATCAGAGCAGCTGCTGTATAAGTACACCATGTACAGTAAAGTCAATAGCGGCATATTGTTACCAACACCAAAAGAAATCAATATTGAATAACATAGCCTCTGGTGCAATCTAGAGGACACAGTAAAACAAAGGCGTGGATGGCGGTTTATTTTTGATATGAAACACCAATGGGGCGAATCTGTCCTGCTGATTGGTTATTGACAAGCACAGTAACCATAGCGCCAGCTGATTTGACAGCGGGATATTAACAGCCAACAGGACATCATTAGCACCATTGTTCAAGAATATGACATACTGTAATTACTTCAACTTTATCTAGGTCACTAATTAAATCAAAAGCTGCCCCCGGTGCTAAATGACTCAATAATGCCAATATAATTATGAACGTATGCACACAAGACCTTCGACCACTAAACTGGTGTAGACTCGGCCTGTTGATCTCTCCATGAGTGTCCTGATTAGAGCAGGTTATTGGACGAAAAAAAATTATGGCTATGAACATCTGTTCTTACATTTATTTAATGTTGTTTACCAGAATTTAATTTTTCATTTTGCTGACAGTTTCATCCACAGCGGCTCATTTTAGGATTCACAGTCTTGTTAAAAGACACGTCAAAGTTATGATCTTTAAAGACCCCTCCGGTGAAAATCAAGTGTTATTAACGTCCATATGACGTTTTTATGCAATACAAGAAATATGATGAGTGAAATAATCATCAACACCATGAATGAGTGTTTCCACCTTGAACTGCAGTGAATCAATGACAGTCTCATAAAAACAGATTCAGATAGCCAGGGTTTCATACATCACAAACCTAAGGAACCAATCCCGTCAACTTGTGGAGACGGGGGCGGGGCTAAATAAAGTCTGGGTCTGACTGAGGCTCAAACATGTGGCTGAGTCTCTCTGATGTTTCCTCCTCTAACCATCTTGATGCTCTCTGCTCTTTCACCTGTCCACCTGGAGCAAGCAGGTGGTGGGCGGGGCTCAAGGCCTGATCCAGGTTTCTCAACCAGGAATTAAGAGGAGATGAGCTTCAGACCCAGATTTTGAGTATATTTTTTACAGAGTTGAAAACATGTCTGGAAGGAATTTGATGATAAATAATAAACTAAACCCTGTTTTTATCACTCAGCAAATATATCTTTCAGCAATGGCCTTTCAGTGTATTTACATTATGTAATTACCTCTCTATATAGATCAAATCGTCACTATTTCTGTTCACTCTCCCTCAGCTGGATCAGAGCACTTCCTACTGCTGCTGCTTCACATTAAAAGAATCCATCTGACACAACCTTTTATTATGAAGTTTTCAAATGAGTTTGCTTGGTTGTACTGTAAATATATGCACCCACTGCTCTTGTGAATTTCTGACAAAGTAGCTGCTTAAAGGAGTGTTTGCTGTAGTATTTAACCACACTTACACAAACCACCACTAATGACAGATGTCCACACATTAATCATCTTAAGTATTCTAACGTCAAGAGGTCACATGACTGCTGATGGACAAACTGGCTGCAAGGGTTCAAAGGGTGAAGTCTTTACCTCTTCCTCCAACCAGTCGTTGTATTGGACGATGCTCGCCATGGCAACATCAGCTCCCTTCATGTAGAAAGTGATGTCTCCTGTCGACTCCTCCTGAATCAAATTACAGGTGACAATTACAGCATTTCATCTGCTATTAAATGTACTGCTGCACAATAATATATTTCTAAACCAATCATCATGTAGTTTCAGTGGTGACAAACGCACGATTCAGCAGTAAAAAGACCACACAGAAAGCAGCATGCACACATCATATTGTTTTGCATTAGGTTCACACCCTGACGATGATGCCCATCCTCTTGCTCTCGGAGGTGAAGGGGAAGATCTGCAGGATGTGGAAGGAGAGGATCTGTCCTGAAGGAGTCTTCAGCTGCAGGGAGGTCAGGTCTCTGTTCACCAGGGTCAGGCCAACGCTCTCCGTCCACCGCACCAGCGCCACCTGAGGAAAACACACAAACACAACAGGCTCACAATCATAAAATATGGCATTTTGACCCTTAGAGTTAAACTTAAATAAAACAAAAGGTTTACAAGGTGATGGATTTTAGCTAGCAATATAAAGATTTATGAAGAAAAGGCTCAAAAGTGAAAACACCTGAAGGTCAGACTGACACAACACAGAAGGAAAAAGACTGGATGCATTTGCTGCAGATTAAATCCATTTTTGAGCAGTATTCTCGCATTTTATTTACAACTTTATGATACAAATGGGATTTTAGAAAATAAAATCTTAATAATGACTGAAAATAACATTGACTTCTTAATTTATGATGTAAAAAGGAGTCTATCAAATGCAAAAAAAAAACGAATGAGGAATAAGGAAACCCATAGACCATAATCTGATTGAGTCTAATTTCCCTTTCTGTGTAAAGACAAGGCATGAAAAAGTTGCGGTATCTCCAGAGCTGCTCAGCTTCTTCTCATTCAGCTCCAGATAAAGTGTTTTTCTGTTTCTCTTTCCTCTTTCTCTCCTCAGCAGGAACTGCGGCCCCCGAGCGAGCGTTCAGCTGCACACGACTCAATTCTCAATGGGTTCATTTTCAATTTGCTCACTCAAAGGTTGTTATTATACTCTGACCTACAAATTGGAACTTCCTGGTAATACCCCGTCATTTCTCCTGCTCCCCCTTTGAGCTCCGTAAAAAGGGCTGCCTATATTTACTTAACACACATCTGTGTGTCATTGCCCTGGTGTGTGTGTGTGTGTGTGTGTGTGTGTGTGCGCGCTGAGCATCCTAAACCTGGTTCTTCAATCGACTTTATCAGCTCCTCTGAAACTAGTTAAAGCTTTGTCGACTCTGATACAAGCTGCACATGAATCACGTGTTACGACAGTCATAGAAAAGACGGCAGCTGACGACTTTACGACAGCGACTGGCTCAAACAACCCGATCAATCATTTCAACTGTGTTCACAAGATCCTACTGAGCATGTAAATCACAGTGGCAGCGCTGCCTTTAAAATGAACAGCAGCCGAAGCATGTCATGATGAAAATGGACCCTGAACAGTTAAATTCAAATATAAGAGGAAAACACTCAACAGCTGAAATTATTTTGGAATCGTTTAACTTTGTTTTACAACAGATTCTGGAGCAGTAATGCTATCTATAATCTTTATATTCTACTGGGCTAAATGGTGACAGTATATCTGGAACAGTATGAACCACATTGTGAGCCTGTTGGTAACTTAAAAAAAAAAAAGCATTTTCTTGGAAGAGTCCACACTGACTTATTTTTTACAAACAAAAACTGTTTAAATCGTTTGAATGAGGAATGAGAATGTAGAGTGTAGAGCTGTTAGCATCACAGATGACCACTGTGACGACACATACACTTTCATCACCGACCAACAGCAAGTTTAGTAATTTGTAGAAGCACATCATTTCTGTCTACAGCAGAAAAATAAACAGGAGGGGGAAGAGAAGGTGACAACAGCAGCACATGCAAAAACCTCTGTGGCATCTTTGAATATGAAGAAAATCAGGTTATCCTTACAAAAGGTTAAAACACTGTTTAAATACATTATGAAAACTTTTTAAATGTTTTTTATCGTGGAATATAGCTTTATGTCATTTCTACTTTTACCGGTATTTATTTCCTATATTCTGAAACCAGCACTGGCTAATTATGTTTTAAACACTGTAAATCAACAGTTTTATGGATAAACAAAGTGAAACTTAAATCCTCCTTAGATTTTATTTTGAAAACTACATCTCCAGATCAAAAGTGAGTCTGATTCAACACAACTGATGAGCCACAGATCTAGTTATATTTATAGTAGGTCATTATTCCCCTTTTATAATTATCTCTAATCAATATATTAATAGTGCTCAAACCTAAATGTAACATTATCAACTTTATTTTGTGTTTCGTGTACTTTCATGTTTGTGTATATGTATGTCATGTGATTATATCTTTAAAAAAATGTTTATATCAAGCTGCCATTATTGAAACTGAAATTACTCTAAATATAAATGATTAAAACATGGCACCATTTTGTTAATTTGGCCAATCATAAGCTGATAATGATGATGCTGATAGTGTGATCCTTCCTTATGGCTCACACTACAGTATACGTCTGATATCCTCACTGAGGCTGTCAGTTACAGCTAATTGGAAATGATGAAGCACCCACTTTCCTGGACATGGCGGTCATTAAAGGCTACAGTCAAACACTCTTGTCTGATATTATGAGGGTCAGAGGTTCTAGAAGGAGTCTGTTCAACCTTACTGTCAGATGACCCCTGCCCTGACCTCAGTGGCCGGCGCACTTCATCTCCTTAATGATAGCTCATTACATTAGAGAGGCAGAGGAGAGAGCCAGGGCCAAACAAACTATCACTGACAGAGGAGCGGCGGCCAAGATCTGCTGCAGCAGTCGATGAGACTGAGGAGAGAGAGAGAGCGAGAGATGAGGGGAGAGAGAGAGGGGGAAATAAAAGCACAGAGAAAGAACAAAGAATATAGCAGAAGGGGAAGAGAGAGCTCCACCAACGATCACAGACCTCCACCCCTCATCGTCTCGGAGAGAAAATTAAATATTGATCAATCCGAGCAGCGAGAGACAACGGAGAGAGAAGAGAGAGCAGATATATAAATAAATATATACATCAAGTCGTGGAGGAGGACAGACGGGCAAAATGGAAAACAGAGATTTATCTTTCACCACCTTTTTATCTTCTTTTTGACTTGCTACACTTGGCCGGGGTTTGACACAAAGTATGCAGGTCTCACAAAGGCTTTATGAAGCCTCACATGTCGAGGGTGATAAACATGTCAACGTCTTCAACGTGGGTGTGTATGGGAAGATGAACTCTCCCTCAGTATACATTCAACCACTCTTAAACAAATGCTTTTCATGATCAAAATCTTCCCCAGTATTAGATCTTTGGATTTCCTTCTTGATACATTCTAAAGAACCATTAGAAACAAATACACTTTAAGTCTTGAGGACCTGAGTCATAAAAGCACTAACTCTTGGGTTACACAGAGAAACGGCCAGAGGAGAGAGGAAGCTATGGAAACGCCTGTGGGGATAATTTTTGTTGCTGCATTCTTCCTTCAGTTGAAGCAGTAAATTCTCAAGAAGCAAATACAGACGATTAAATAGCTTAACCTCTACAAGGAG